AGTTAGTTAAATCATGGAAGGCCACACCACCTACTCTCATATCAATGAGGTTGCATCTGGTGCCAATGTGGGAAATGTTGGCTATTTAGAGATGGATGTGTTGCTTGAGGGGTCAACTGACCATCCACCAACCATTCTGCAAACCCAGAGCAGGGGTGGTCCTGGATTAACAAACCCAACTGCCATCCCTGAATCCATCACTATGTTTAAAAGACCACTGAAATGTTTCTCACTGTGCACCTCCACTGCTGCCTGGTCTCCATCCCCATGGCAACCAAGTCCTCCCATCCTGGGGAATGATGGAACGGCCTCCTTCCCAGCTTCCTTCCCTGCCTCCAGACTCTTTCCTTCCGATCCACCCTGCATGCTGCAACCAAGGGGATCTTTCAGGCCCTACCAATGGAATGGTTTGCTATGGTTTGTATGTGGTCTGTTCACTCAAGTGTGGCAATGTTGGGTGATGGCACCTTAAGAGGTGGAGCCTAGTGGGAGGTCCTTAGGTCATTGAAGGTGTTGCTTTCTGAAGACATTGGGACCCGGAGTTAGTTTTCATAAAGGTAGATTGTTATAAAACAGAGACCCTGAGCCCTGAGCCGTGCTCTGGTTTTCTGTCTCCAGATGTGGTTTCTTCCCCTTACATATGCAAGCTCTCTGTCTTTTACCATGGTGATGTCATAACTCCATGATGTCTTCACCAGAGATGAGCCAGTGCCTTGGAACCTCCAGAACTGTGAATTAAACAAGGCTTTTGTTCTCTATAAGTGTCCGGTCTCAGGTATTTTGTTATAATAATGAAAAACTGACCAATACAAAGATATACCATTTAAGAACCTCCCTTAGGCTCTCCTTGGCTTTAAAGTGAAGTCCAAACTCATTAGAGTAGACTTAACAACCCTCATCATCTGTCCATCTCCCTGGCTCTTAGCTTTTCTCTCCCACAGGACCCATCACAAACTCTAAATTCCACCCACACAAAACAGTGGATTCATAGTCCTCAAATATACTCTGCTCTTTCATGACTTTGCCCGGGCAGAGCCTCTACTGGGATGGGTTCTCCTCCCTTTCTATGCCTGGGAACTGTCTCTTCAGCTTTCAGGATCCAGATCAAATAAGCCATGCATGTGAAGCCATCCCCGAGTTCTGCAGGCAGAGCCAGTCACCCCAGGCTCCCAGAATACCACATACCCCTCCGTTTCTGCTCTCATCAACTGGTTTTGTTGTGTGTTTACATGCCCATGAGTTCCTTGAGGGCAGAGGCCGTGTCTGATTCATATCTGCATCCCTCCTGCCAAACCCCTGTGCTCAATAAATGTTTGATGAACGACTGAAGGAAAGAATGTTCATCATCAGAAAATTGCTCATCAGAGCCTTGCACATCAGCATCGTCAGGAGATGCTTTCATCAAATGTGGCTTCTCAGTGTCAGTATCTAACACTGCCCTGGTTCAGCCTGAAGCACTGGAAATTTGGAAGAGCTCACAGAGGTGAGAGGAAAGGCATTTTATTTGTTAAACAGAAAATCAGGGTATGAGATAGAACTGTAAGCTATGCAAATGTCTACTTTTTTTGTAGGAGAAACTAGGAGAATCACACTAGATTATTTTGAAATTAATTCAGTCTGAATGTCTGTGGAGCTTAAATGTGGTCCTCAGGAGAGTAAAAATAATGCATAATGTGAAACCAGAAAGGAGATTTGAAATGTTCTCAGTAAGAGTTCCTTCCAGCCTAACTTCTGTAGTAGAACATTCTAGCTGGTAGGATCTCTATGTAATTTGCAAAGATTAAAACATGTTGCAAGAAAATTAGCCCAAGCATAAGATGAACTGTTTAAGAGGCTCCCGGCTTCCTCTGGCCTTGTCAAGAGCGAATTCTCATCAATGAGGTCTTGAGGACGGATTCCAGGTCGCTTGATAAATATTGATCATTTTGCATGAAGCAAAAGTTGCACAGAAGTTAATTATTAAATATCAAATGAGAGCGACTGCTCTGGGTTTGCAAATTAGGAATTTAAAAATATTACTTCCAAATAGTTCCCTTTGGTAGAAGGATCAAAGATGTGGTTGCCAAGGCACTCTGGGAGCTTTAATTAGACGTATGCAAAAGCGGCTGAAAACCCGCCCAGGCCCCAGAGCGCCACACACAAAAGGGCACACACAAAGTGTCCATTCCAGCAGGAACCTGTGGTGCTTCCTGTTTGAGGCCACACCTTGAAATGAGGGAAGGTGAGAGATGAATTTGGAGATGACTTTGCCTCCAGGTTCACAGATAGGGCTTTCCTTGCTGATTCCAGAGCCTCTAGAAGAGCAAGACCTGTCAAGGGGCTGAGTACGAACTTCCATAGGGAACACTTACAGCTGGGTGACACCAAGTCCTGAGAGCCACAGGTATACTCCCAGCTGGGCTGTGGCTTACAGGGGCTGTCTGCTCATCTTCCTCCTCCAGTGAGCTGAAGCAGCACACCTGCCCACCACAGGCCCCGCAGCCACACCTGTCACGTCATATCTAGCCCACTTCACCAATGCCTGAGCCCTTGGGTGGGCCTCAGAGGCCACCCTGAGAATTGGCCTCGGGGTCATGGTGGAGAGGGAGGAGAGAATGGCTAAACATTCAAACTGCATTTCAGTCTCCCTCTGTCTTCATCTGACTCTTCCCCTTTCTCAGATCTTCTCTCCAAATTCAGCTCCACAATCTCTACCAGAGGAAGCTTTTGAAATCTCAGACCTAAACACGCCGTAGGGTTGTGCATCCTCACCTTCCATGGAACCAGCTCCCCCAGTTCCTGTGGCCTCCATGACCTGACCCCTCTGGCTGCTCCCCATACTGCCCTCTAGGACTTGGCCACACCTATCTGAGAACCCTGGTGTGACTGGGTTTTGAATATGCTGTTTTCCTCCCTGGAACACCCTTCACTCCTTCCATATGGAGCAGGCTCCCACACACTCTGAGCATGCCAAGTAAAGTACTGGGTCTTCTGAGAAGCCACCAGCCTTGCCCCACCCTGGACCACCATCCACTTCCTGCACTGTGCCATTCGCAGTCCCCTAGGAAGAACAGAACACAGACGCCCAATAGGTTTGGCTGAAGGCAAAGGCGCCATAGACCCTCATGTGACCCCCAAGGCCCTGCAGTTTCAGCTGTGAAACCCATTTCATCCTGGTGAAGTCAGCACCAATTCACCTCCTAGGGCCTGGTGTGTCCCTTTGTCTTCCTGTGGCCCCAGCCTGCAGACCCTGGGGGCCTGAGCCAGGAAACCACACCATTCCTCACCAGCGTGCATCTAGCCAGCCTCGGAACCACTCGTCTCCCACCTCCCTCTGTCTCTCAAGTTGTAGGAATGAAGCGGGGAATGCAGCCCCATCCTGTTCCCTCTGGGCCAGAAACCAGGCAGAAGAGTTACCCACAGTGGGTCAGCAACAGGCCACAGCTGGGGAGCCTGGGGTTTTTGACTTGAGAGAACCGTGGGAGGAAAGCACAGTCCAGATTTTCACACCTCAGCCTGATCCTGGCCTTCTTCCAGTGTCCTCCCATGATTGGAAGTATAAAACGGAATTTGAAATGTTCCGTGATTAATAACCAACAGCAGCATCTTGGGTGTGTTATATCTTCTCTGTGCCTCAGTTGCCTCATCTAAAAATTCAGGGTAATGACACTGACCATGTACAGTGATAAGGATTAAATGAGTTAATATACATGAAGTGCTAGTGCCCAGCACCCAGGAAGCACTATAGGAATGCAGCTGTTATTGGGAGAGGCCTGCAAAATTTACAATACATGGCAAAGTTTCCACAAACAAGAAAGGTACAGGGGCAGGAGTTATGAATTCCCTGTGCATTATTCTCTTTTACTGGACCCCCCAAATTTGCAGGTCCCACTGAGACTCACAAAGCTGTCACATGCACCCTCTATCTATGCCAGAAGTGCTTCCAATGTGACACCCTGTGCTCCTTCTCCCCTCAGCTTGTGGGGTTACAGAGGCCTGGCTTGGGTTCTTGCTCCTGTTCTCTAACTAGCTTCTCAATCTGTGGCCTTGTTTTGGATTTGCTGCTCATTATTCATCATCCACTTAGGATATGACTGAGGGTCCCTAAGTCCTTTGATTTCTATACCCAGACCATAGGTCCACGGTGCCCCGGCCCCCAGTGTAATTTGTAGCTGGGGCCTCCACTGTGGGGGGGGTTGGTTGGCTTTTGGGATTGGATTCAGGTTTTGGCCACTTCCCAAACTTCTTGCGGGTCTGACAGCCCCTTCCTCACCTGGGAGGCTTGAGTCAGGGGCCTCTGGCACTTAGTTTCATGAGTACAGTTCCTCAGGACCCCTGGAGGTTAGGAGAGGCAAAGGTCTCTTTAAAGCTGGACATCTGGATCCCTGGGTGTCATTTTATAATGGGGAGATGCAGTGGCCAATGACAGCAAGAAGTCAAGAATGGGCCCCAAACTGATGGAGGTGGAACAAAGGAATGAAATGCCTGTGGTCACTGATGTGGGGACTGCTCTCATTATCTGACTCCAAGACACCACACTGCAAGGACACCTCATCTCATAGAGTGACTCCATGTGGGGAGGAAGGCAGGGAGTCACAGATCAGAGCCACGGTACTGTGGACACATGGGACATTGGGTCTTCGGCTGTGAGAAGGCACTTGTGTATCAAACAGAAGCTTTAAGGTTACAACCCCACTCTGTCCCTTTCTGTGTATCTTTGGGCATGTGGTTCACCTCTCTGAGCTTGTGTCCTTGTATCTAAGTTAAATAAAATGAAGATAAAACAACACCTTCCCTCAGAGGCAATATCAAGGGTCAATGAGCTAATTGCGTGAAACCTCTGGCACATAGTAGGTGCTCAGTAAAATCCCACAGCACTGAACTGGCCTGAAGTCACAGCCTCGGTATTGCCAAAGCACCCCTTCCCTCCTATCCTCCACACCTCCCTGGCCCCTGAGGCCACTCCCCTGGTGCATTTGCTCTGTGGGGTGGCTGAGGCTCTCTCCCTTTGGGGCTGTTACCTGAGAGAACTGCCAGTGGAGCTTCATCCTCTTGGCTTTGGCGTAACTGCACTCGATGAGCCGAGGCCGGCTGTTGACGTCCACTAGGCACCGGTTGTCATCATCATCCACCGTGGGGCTCAGGACACCCACGTGGATCTGCTGACTGCTTGTGTAGTACACATTCTGGGGATGGAAGGAAGGAGAAATAACGAGGTTAAATGCCCATGGCCAGAGAGATGGGAGGGTTAATGGTGACTGTCCCCAGCAGCTGGCAAAGAAGTCTCAGTTAGGGATGACTCTGGATCTTTGATATCCAGTAGTCTTCAAACTATTATCAATTGCAAATGAACAAGATAAAAAAATCTTCTTACATTCTGATCCAGCGTAGTATTTGGCCCACATATAGAACTAAAACAAAGTTTTCAACAAATAAAATTTACCCTTACTATGTAGGATACACTCTGATATTTTCTACTCTCTTCTTCCATTGAAAAATATTGACCATAACCATTGGAATTGATTTCACCACGCATGGTTTAAAAAACAAACAAACAAACTCCTGAATCCAACAGACGCACCGACTTCCTGATCAGTATCTTGTGCCAGACACTGTGCTTGGCCAGAGACACAGCAAAAAGGCCTGGGCCATGCCTTCAGGGAGCTCAGAGTCTTGTGGGATGGGAGAGAAGGAACTCAGAATTTCCATCCCTACTAAAACTGTGCAGAGCAGGGGTTGGCAAGCTTTTTCTTTTTCTTTTAAAATATTTATTTATTTATTTTTAGTTGTAGGTGGACACAATACCTTTATTTTATTTATTTTTATGTGGTGCTGAGGATTGAACCCAAGGCCTTGCAGGTGCTAGGCGAGTGCCCGAGCCACAACCCCAGCTCAGGCAAGCTTTCTCTTAAAGGGATAGATGGCAAACATTTCTGGCATTGAGGGTGTGCTAGGGAGTCCCCAAGAGCATCCCTTGACTCAGTGATTCTCAGAGGACTCAAGGCTATGGCTTGTTATAGTGTGGGAGGCAGAGCAAGTCACAAAGAAAAAGGATCAGGGAGCAAACCCTGGGGAGCCAGGAATAGGTGTCCCAGGGCCTTCCCCCAGTGGAGTCACGTGGGACAGGCTCCAATTCCCCAGCACTGAGTGTGACCACTGTATGAAGGGCCATCTACCAGGGAAGCCCATCAAACCTCAGCATCCAGGGTTTCTATGGAGGGCTCACAGGCAAGCTCTGTCTGGGTCACGCCAGTTTCTGATTTCCAGAAGGAGAGCAGGTGCCCATGATGAACCCCAGCATTTGCACAATTGGCTTAGGCACGATGATCCCTCAGTTGTGGTGGGAGCCCTCCTGAAATCCAAGCTTGCAGATGCCAGCCAAGAGCCACCCTGTGAGCAGGTCTGCTCTGGGGACAGCAGTCAGGCCTCCGTGTGGACTCTTTTCTGCACAGAAGGTCCCATGGTCTCCAAGAACTCACTCTGCTGTCATCCCCATAGACAACACAGAAACAAATGGCTGTGTTCCAATTACACTTTGTTTAAAAAACAGAGGTTGTCCTCCGGCCTGCAGTGAGGCCGTGGTCTAGAGGCACGCCCCATGATGCTCGGTCTTCAAAATTTTCAGTAAGTTCCCACAAGCCTGAGCCCAGCAAGGGGCTCAGCAGAAGTCATGGGGTTCTCTGAGCTCTAGTCCTCAAATGACCAAAGTTATGAACACTCCATCCCTCCTCTCCAGTGACCAGGACCCATGGACAAATACACAGCATAATTCTTTGGTCTAGGTTGGAATTCAGGATAGTCCTTCTTGTTAGCATGAGCTATTAAATAATTCTCATTGGCAAATATCAACTGATTGGTTTGGGTTTTTGGTGTTAAGTTTTTTGAGTTGTTTATATATCTTGGAGATTAGTGCTCTATCTGACGTGCATGTGGCCAAAACTTGTTCCTCAAAGGTAGGCTCTCTTTTCATCTCACTGATTGCTTCTTTTGCTGAGAAGAAACTTCTTAGTTTGAATCCATCCCATTTATTGATTCTTGATTTTATTTCTTGTGCTTTAGGAGCCTTATTAAGGAAGTTTGGGCCTGATCTGATGTGATGAAGATTTGGGCCTACTTTTTCCTTTTTTAGGTATAGGGACTCTGATCTAATTTCTAGGTCCTTGATCCACTTTGAGTTGAGTTTTGTGCATGGTGAGTTATAGGGGTTTAGTTTCATTTTGCTGCGTATGATTTCCAGTTTTCCCAGGACCATTTGTTGAAGAGGTTATCTTTTCTCCACTGTATGAAACAATCTAATCAATAAATGGGCTAAGGAGCTGAACAGACACTTCTCTGAAGAAGGTATACAATCCATCAACAAATATATGGAAAAATTTTCAACATCTCCAGTAATTAGAGAGATGCAAATCAAAACTACTTTAAGATTCCATCTCATGCCAGCCAGAATGGCAATTATCAAGTATACAAACAATAAATGTTGGAGTGGATGTGGGGGAAAAGGCACACTCATACATTGCGAGTGGGACTGCAAATTGGTACAACCAATCTGGAAAGCAGTATGGAGATTCCTTAGAAAACTCTGAATGAAACCAAAATTTGACCCAGCTATCCCACTCCTTTGGTATATACAAAAACAACTTAAAAACAGCATACTACAGAGACACAGCCACTTCAATGTTTATAGCTGCACAATTCACAATAGCTAAATTGTAGAAGCAACCTAGATGCCCTTCAATAGATGAAAGGATAAAGAAACTGTGGTATATATACACAATGGAATATTACTCAGCATTAAAAGAGAATAAAATTATGGCACTTGCAGGTAAATGGATGGAGTTGGAGAATATCATGCTAAGTGAAGTAAGCCAATCCCAAAAAACCAAAGGTTGAATGTTCTCTCTGATAAGTGGATGCTGATCCATAATGGAGGTGTGTGTGTTGGGGGGGGGAATGGAGGAACTTTGATTGGGTCAATGGGAGGGAGGGAAGGGGAGGAGGGATGGTGGAAAGAGATGGACATCATTACCCTAGGTACATGTGTGACTGTACTTGTACTGTGACACTATATTGTGTACAACCAGGGAAATTAAAAATTTTGTGCTCCATCTGTGTACAATGAATTAAAAAGCTTTCTGGTATCATGCAAAGCTGATTAGAACTAATAAAAAATAAGTTAAAGAAAGCAACTAAGAAATGTCAGTTGATTGGTTAAAATGGTAAAATGAAGTACTTCTTGCTTTAGTCAAAGAGAATGGTTGACAAGTGTTTTTTAAATATGGGTGCAGGGTGTAAAAGGGACTGAGGTAGTAAGAAAAGCTGCACAGGTGAGGAGGGAAATAAAGGCTGGTCCCTCCTGAGTATTCTTCCAGACTCTCAAAAGCCTCTGTGGACATCAGGGAAAGGGGTGGAGGACAGGCAGTCATAAAAAGCTCCTTAGGCCAGTATATCAGTCAAAGTCTCAAAAGGAAACAGAGGGCACACGTGAAGTGGCAGATCTGAGGAGGGTGTCACACTTTCTGCAGGCGTACACAGGTGTGGGGGAACAGCACAGGGCTACTACAGCTCCCTGGGGATAATATAATATCATGGAGCTTGTTATCTCTGTGGGCCCAAAGGCGTGAGAGGAAAGAGAGTCAAGTTCAGTAGGGCTTGTGGGGAATGGGGGCTGGTGCTGAATACATAGCCAGCCTCACTGCCCCTTCCACTCTGAGCTTGGCTGGGTCAGTCTACTGGCCAAACCCAACTGCAAGCCAGAGAACATGGAGCCCATGGAATGCTCCATCAGGTCAGCCTCCAGGGTGGAAGGAAGAGTGGACAAACTGAAGACACTCCATACAGCTAGGATCTGCTCTCTGAGGTCATCCTACAATTTTATCATGTTTGGTGAATCCATGAATGTAGACATCAAACTTATCAGCATGACTGATTCTTCCCGTAACTGAGATGAAGGATGACAGTGATTGAGTAGAGCCCAAAGGTACAATGCCCAGCTCCATGTGGAAATGTAACCAAGAGGCATGGGGGCCTGTTCAAACCTACACTGGGTAAGAGATGGGTTTCCAATTGTCATCCTGAGCCCATCCATTGTGTGGCCTGGATTTCCAGGTCACCGGCAAGGAAAGCTGGTGGCCTGCTGTGGCTTCCAGTTTATTGGAGTTGAGGAAGAATTTGACATCAAGTAGGATTCAGGAAATGAAACAGTTATGCAGTTAGTCATCACATCCATCCATCCATCCATCCATCCATCCATGCATCCACCCATCCTTCTAACCAATAAATAATCTCAGGTTGGGTTCTGGGAATACAGAAATGAGAAAGTCATGGTTCCTGTCCTGAAAGAGCCATTGCCAACTTGGGGAAACCAACAGCACGTCAGGGAACAATGATTCTAATGACATGAACCTGAGAAGTGTCCTTGCTTCCTCCACTCACCTACCCCAACTCTTGCACTTTTGGAAATAGAATTGGGAACTCACCATTTCTAAAAAGCCTTCTCTGAAGGAGCAAAGGCATGGGGCCTCAGCCCGCCTCCTGGGCCCAGCTCTAAAAGGTGCACAACTGCTATGTGCTTGGGTTGAAGGCACTGTACTCCCCTCAAGATGGTGTGCAGCTTTTAGTCACCTTGCATTCAAGGACCCAGACTCCCTGAGGTTTGGGAGCATGGCCAGGGACCACGCTTCCCTCCCCTTCTTCTCTCTGTCATCAGGGTCCGGCTCTCATCTCCAGGGCAGGCCCCACAGACACAAGTGGCAGCCCAGGTAATAGCTGAAATCAGTTTTATCCATTTAGCTGCTCTGAAGTGCTTGGGGAGATGCTCTGGCAGACGTGTGTGCACTTACTATCTGGTACAGCTGTCATCAGAGCCGTTTATTGCTCCAGAGTTTGAGAAAATCATAATAGGGACAGACAGTTGTTTGTTATTAAAAAGCAAACAACAAAGTGGCGTCTTGACTGGAGTAACCACAGAGCCGGCAGATCACAGAGAGAGTTCGACACAGAGGAACCTCTCAAGTCCTCACTTGGACATCTCAGAAGGCCTGCCAGTAGTGCATTGAATCAATAAATGGCCTGAACACACACGAAAGGGGAAACAGATTTGTTCAAGATGCCTGCCTTTCAATGCCTGCAGGCCCAGCAAGCACAGCTGTGCTTTCTGAGCAGCAGGGGAGCCTGCAAGATTTCAGGG